AGTTTTTATAGTTAACATCGTAATGAACAATATTTTGATAAGAACGTATTATATCTACAATAAATATTGTTGAAATTTGGTCCAACTTTGTTAAAATTACCATACTTGTGAATTGTTTAAGACCTTGTTGAAACCTATCTCCAATGATTAGTCGTAAAATTATTTCTTGTGCAGTAGAATAATTTAAGGAGGATAACAATAAATAATTTTTTAACAAGTTTTCGCAAACCATACATATAGATGAATCACTAAATGAAGTTTCTTTACAAGGCATTTCTAATCCAATAAGAAGATTTGAAACCCAGTCAACGTCCTTTGGTTCAAAAATCATTACTACGGCTTTTGTTGCATCGGTTTGATTTTGAGCAAGTATAAGTGAAGATGAGCACAAAAGTATCGTTTGAGAGAAAAAAAATATTCCAAACATTTGAATCATTTTGTTCTTATAATTAATTATAAGAACAAAAAAATTAAAAATAAAGCGTCTAATATTGATTTGAGATTCGCTCAATTTTTGGACAAAACTTCAACAATGAATAAAGATGTTTAAACATTTTATCTGCAACATTTTGGGTTCATTTGGTATTTCAAATAAATAAATAAAAGATTTCTAAAACAAAACTTGTTTTCACAAACTTTTTATATACAAAGAGTTGTTGGTAACTTTAATTAATCGTTTTTACTATAAAAAAAAATTTATTTAAAACAAAAAAAATTCAAAAGTAAAATAAAAATGAATAGTTAATATAATAATAAATTAATAAATTTTAAATGCATTAAAAACCATTAACTATTTATCCAACGATAAATTTAAACAAAAGAATTAACAAGAGCACAACTCGTAGCAAAATTTTCACCTGCCAATAAAATCTGCCGAAAAACAAAAGACTTTTATAACTAAGCATAAATAAAACACTTACCATTTTTTCTCTAATTTGATTACGTTGAATTCTTTCTTGATGTCATATTTTTTCGTTATTTTATTGAATTCTTTATTGACGTTATTATTTGCAGCTATAATGCAGCCATTCAAAGTTATGCAAAAAAAAAAAAATTTAAGTTAATGATTGGATAGTTAAAAATGTGCATTTCGGAGAACAAATAAAAACCCAAATGCTTTTCCATTTGGTGTTCCGACCCTGCCTCACTAAACTTCAAAATGGAAAAACTCCACATTTTTAATCTTGGACGCTTGAAAGCTCGGGGCCCGCGACTGATATCCTAATTTTGAAGGCTAACGGTTTGAGTAATCTTATTGAATAAAAACATTTGACTGATATTTTTTATATTTAGCAACGCAAGTCTATTTATATAACACTTCTTCTCGCTAGGGCTCGCCATATATACTTAACATCATTACCGCTTGAACTATACCCGTAGGTACAGCACTTATTTCACGATTTATATTTTGATGGCATATTGATATATATTATGTTTAAAATGAGCATAAAAATAATAAAAATAATTACGCCAAGTAATTTGATATCAAAATATAGTTGTTTAGAAACACAAGCGAATGAAAATACATGCTTTTTAAAAACAGTTACTCTCAAGTTTCTAATAAGCAGTGAAGGGAAAGGGAGGGAGAGGAAGGGAAATAAGAATGGCCTAGGAAAAAAAAATCTAATTAACGGAGTAGAGTCGCTAATAAAGACCTAATTAAGAATTGAGTAGCTACCTTCTTGCTAACTGTATATATTCCCCCCCCCCCCCCACACACACACATATATATATATATATATATATATATACATATATATATATATATATATATATATATATATATATATATATATATATATATACATATATATATATATATATATATATATATATATATATATACATATATATATATATATATATATATATATATATATATATATATATATATTTATATTTATATATATATATATATATATATATATATATTATATTGTATGATATTTTGTATTTGCAATAAAATACAAAAAACTCTTGAACGTATAAGAGTGCTTCTATCAATGAAAGTCTTTTGAATGATGCCATTAAATTTGCTGAGAATTTTGTAACCATTAAAAACGAAGACAAACTTATAATTAAACAAGCTCGAAAATCGTTGTTGTTTAATAATGAGCAACCTTGGATTAAAAAGAACAGTGGTTTGTTTGATGTTGCAATGGGTGCTTTTGACGGCGCAGAAGTATGTGAGCTTGTCGGAGTTTTTCTTCTTTTTCAGCTATCACAGCATTATAACAAGACAGATTTTGGCTTATACCGAGATGATGGTTTAGCGGTTTTTAAAAATGCTAGTGGCCACCTTATGGACACGATAAAAAAACATATTATTCAAATTTTTAAAAATAACAATCTTTCTATCTCCATACAATGTAACATGAAAGTTGTGAACTTCCTTGATGTAACACTTAATCTCAATGATCAATCTTTTAGACCATTTTGTAAACCAATCAATGAACTAAATTATATACATGTTGATTCCAATCACCCTCCTAGCATAATAAAGCAACTTCCTCGTTCTATAGAATTAAGGTTGTCAGCTAATTCATCTAATGACACTAGCTTTCGAAGCTCTGCTCATTTGTATCAGGATGCATTAAAAAAGTCTGGTTACAAATTTAAACTTAATTATATTCCGAAACTCATTCAACCTCTACCAAAAAACCGTAAGCGCAATATTATCTGGTTTAACCCCCCATATAGTAAAAATGTTTCTACTAAAATTGGTAAAATCTTTTTGGATTTAATTGACAAGCACTTTCCAGTTGGACATAAATACCACAAGATTTTTAATAGAAATACTCTAAAGGTGAGTTACAGTTGTATGCCAAACATCAAATCAATCGTTAACTTTCATAACCGTCATATTATGAAAAGCATCCCCCCAGAATCAGATAAAACTTGCAATTGTATTACTAAAAGCAAGTGCCCTTTAAATCAACAGTGTCTCGTTAATAACATAGTGTATCAAGCCACTCTATATCCAGGCACTCCAGACGGGATTAAAAAAGTGTATTTTGGAGTAAGTGAAACTGCTTTTAAACTTAGATACGCTAATCATACAAAATCTTTTAAGATCGAAAAATATAAAAACGATACTGAGTTGTCTAAGGAAGTATGGAAGTTAAAAGAAAATGGAGTAAACCCGACAATTAAATGGAAAATTTTAAAACGTTGTAGATCTTACAATCCCACAATAAAACGATGCAACTTATGTCTATACGAAAAGTATTTCATAATATCGTACACCTATGATAACTTATTAAATAAGAGGAATGAATTAGTATCTAAATGTAGACATAAAAGCAAGTTCCTCCTTTCGAATTTCGATACGGGTGATTAGGCAGCCGTTTTTAGGTTTTTGTTTTTGTTTTGTTTTGACGACGGAGCACATTCCACTGTAACTTTATATTTTAACGGTTTTTTTTGTTTCTTGTTTTGTATTACATGGCTGATGATTGCCTTTAGGCATGAAACTATTAGTACCAAAAAAAAGTTGTTTTCTTTATTTTTATAAATTAATATATATATATATATATATATATATATATATATATATATATATATATATATATATATATATATATATATATATATATATATATATATATATATATATATATATATATATATATATATATATATATATATAGTTTAATATAACAAAGAATATAATTAATATTATTAATTTATATAACAAATTAATTTCTAAAAATAGATCACAAACAATTTTACATAATCATGCTTACAGAAGAAATATATATATATATATATATATATATATATATATATATATATATATATATATATATATATATATATATATATATATATATATATATATATATATATATATATATATATATATATATATATATATATTATATATATATATATATATATATATATATATATAGTTTAATATAACAAAGAATATAATTAATATTATTAATTTATATAAAAAATTAATTTCTAGAAATAGATCACAAACAATTTTACATAACCATCCTTACAGAAGAAATCCCATTCGATTCAAAAAAGAACTAAAAGAATAAAGGAATGTTGTCCATTAAGAGAAAATTTTATTCTTAATAGAACAGCCACTGTATAGAATTGTCTTCATCCGTCAATCGTGCTATCTACATCAGTGAAAACATTTAAAAAACGATTAGACGAATATATTGAAAGCAAATATAAAGTCACCGGCTGATATAGAGCGTGCTTATTGCACGCTCTCGATTAACATTTAAAACATTTAAATCATTTTAATTGTTATTTTGTTACATTTTAGCCATTATTAGTTATTATCATTATTATTAATCTATATTTTCTAAAAATAACATTAAAAATTGTAATTCTCAATTTAGAAAAAATAGGCTGGGTGAATAAAAAAATGCAATTGCTCAGCGTTTTTGGAGTAATTATTCAGCTTTACGTAAACAAAAGTTTTAGCAGGTAATTTATTCCAAAAACGCTCAGCTTTATTAAAAAAAAGTTTTGAGCAAAATTGCTAAACTTTTTATTTACGTAATCAGTTACTGAGTAAAAGCAGCTATATCTTCTTTTTTTATTCACCCGGCCTAATATGCAAGTTTAGGAAATTATACAAATAGGATGATTAGAAATCGCCTACAGCTTTGGGTCTACAGCTACGGGTCTGGAGCTACGGGAATGCATTTGATATCTACGGTTAACATACTCAAGCTCTGCATTTGATGTCAAAAAATATATTTTGCATAAATCAAAAAACATAGTTGCATAAATTATATATATATATATATATATATATATATATATATATATATATATATATATATATATATATATATATATATATATATATATATATATATATATATATGTATATATATATATATATATATATATATTTTTAACTGTGTTCCAAAATAAGATGCCTTGTTAAAAAAGCAATGAGATTAACAAACATTAACAACAAACATTAAACATAAAATGACATAAAACTTTGACAAACGAAATATGAGATTACAGAAACATGAGATTACAGTTCAAAAATGTTAACCGTTGATAAAACTTTATTATATTTACAGCAATCTATATGAAATCTATCAATAATATTTACAGCAACCTATCAGCAACTTATCAACAGTATTTGAAGCAATCAATAATAATAAGTATATATTTAAATATATCAGTAAATTACGTAAATATATATAAAAATGATTATGTTAGTAATCTTTTTACATTTATTTGAAATATCAAATGAATATAGAATAACTGTTGCAGATAAAAAGTTGAAGCAAAGCAATCTTAATCAGCAACCTATTGTTGGAGTTCTTGCCCAAAAATTGAGCGAATCTCAAACCAATATTGCTGGTACTTCATATATATCAGCAGGATACATTAAGTATGTTGAAATGTCAGGAGCAAGAGTTGTCCCAATTTTAACAAATATAACAGAGGAAGAACTGCGTTCACTTTTTGGAAAAATAAATGGGGTTATATTTCCCGGTGGTGATGTTGACTTGATGCATTCTTCTTACCGCAAAAATGCTGAGATCATATTTAACCTTGCTAAACTAGAATTTGAAAACGGAGGTTATTTTCCTATTCTTGGAACTTGTCTTGGATTTCAAGCATTATCAGTGTTGGTTGCAAATACTGACAACGTGATTGAGCCATGCAAAGGACTTGACGATGTCTCCATGAACTTAAAGTTTAATGGAGATTTAGGAAGAATGTTTAAAGAAGCACCTGAAAAAATTTTAGATATTTTAAAAAATGAGCCTGTCACTTACAACTCACATTATAACTGCGTTACAACCAACATGTATAAAAAAACTAGCAGTTTGCAAAACTTTTTTCGTGTTTTGTCGACAAATAAAGCAGAAGATGGAACAGAATTTATTTCAACATATGAAGGTATTATTATCTTTTGATATTTGGTTTCATTAATTTCTTAATATAAAAGGTTCCAAATAATGTAATTTTTTTTTAATTACGTTTTACATTTAATATAAGTTGAAAAAAAAAAGAAAATGAAAAGAAACTTTTAAATATTGAAAATTTCTATCAATAAAAAAGCATGAATTATTATATAAGAAATTTCTATCAATAATAAAGTATGAATTTATATATAAGAAATCAGGTACAGTTCCCATAGATGCTAAAGTTCAAAAGTATAAAATGTAATTTTTATAACTTTGGGCAAAAAACATTATTCTTATGTCTTATATATATATATATATATATATATATATATATATATATATATATATATATATATATATATATATATATATATATATATATATATATATATATATATATATATATATATATATATATATATATATATATATAAGAGAGAGAGAGAGAGAGAGAGAGAGAGAAAAGAAGAGAGAGAGAGAAAGAGGGAGAGAGAGAGCAAGAGAGAGATACAAAAGCTTTGACATTAACTGCTGGCATCTCATTCTCAAAAATTTTAACGTATATGTAAATTTCCAAACTAAAAAAAAATGTTTTCCCTCGCAGAGTCTTAATTTAAAAAAAAAGTTTTTATTTTTATTTTTAAAGTTTGCGTTACGTTATTTATGAACGTTCCTTATGTAAATATTTTATTATCAATTTTTTTTTATTTAAAATTATTGTTCAAACTGACTAAACTTATATGGGAAGCAAGCAGTTTGACAAAAAGGTTTGCTCGCTCATCTCGAAAGATTGAAAAATTGCTTCGACAGGGTGTAACTACAAGAGGTGAAAATGATGAAAAACCTAATATTTACTATTTTAATTTGATAAAAGTAAAATTGACAAGACATTAGAAATTTTGATTATAAAATACCATTTTTGACATCTTTTAAGAGCGAGAACAACTTTTTACTTTCAAAGCACAAAAATACAGATTGTTGATTTTATCACAGATAAACATTCAAGTTCGATACTTTGCATGTGAATCTTCAGATATTACAAATAAGGAATAAATTTCATTTATGCAGTGACAACTATAAGTTTTATTACCTTAGATTTTATCACTTTTTGAATTGCAAATCGCTTTTGCATTATTTGCTTATCTGGAGACTCTATTGAAGCGCCTAAAAGAAATTAATCTGACTGGTTATGTTGCAGTATTCTGCATTCAAAATACGTTTTAGAGATTTGCAGATTGAACTTTAAATTATGTAAACAAAATCTTAAACAACAAAAAAACTTTTAAATTATTTACAACACTATCGTATATATGTGAAATAACCTAACAAAAAGCAAATAACTCTTTTTCCTGTTTGAGAGCTGTATGTAAAAGTAATAGTAAACTAAATTCTTCTTCCGTTAAATCTTTTTTACATTGAACAATAGGTCAATGTTGAGAAAAACGAGATATAAAAGTGTATTTAAAAACTTTTTTCTATCTACCAAGACAGTTTGTTGTGTAGAGACTTCATTTTATTTAAACCTAAATTGTATAAATTTAAACATGTAGAAGAGCATACTCAACATACGAGTTGGTATACCTAATTTTATGGCTTTTACGGAAAACGCTTTTTTTTTTGTCTATATTTCAGAGCCATGTTTTTTCGAGTCCAATTTGCGCAATTATCTATTAGCACATTTTTAAAATTTTTTGAAGCATAACTGAGTTTGCCAATAGTTTGGTGGAAGTGAGAGCAGGTGTTTAATTTGTTACTTATCAAGTCTGATCATGCCAAAAATCAGGTAAGAAAAGAAATTAACCAACACAGAAAAGGATGGTTGTTTTTTTGCCAATATTTGTGTTTGTTTTATAAATTTCCTTGATATCAATTTTCACTTTATTCTCATGGTTATAACAGCCTGAGCTGAGCAAGGCATATTAAAAGACTAAAATCAGTTTATCATTTTCCTGAACAAACTTAAGTTGAAGTTGAAGCTTTAGATTCTAAATGGGTTTTCCTAAAAAATTTGCATGATGAATACCATCAGTTTTTTCTTACTTTATATGTAAAGTGGAATAAATAAGTGACAACTAATTCTGCAAGCTTACTTCTATTATCTATTATAATATCTGGTTTACCTACATAAGCTCTGCAAAAAGTCAATGACTAAAATTAGGTTCTTCAAAGATTTTCTTTTTCTTTTTGAAAAGAGGATTATCAGGTCCATTAGTTTCGTCTTTGGTCACTGAATTCCAAAAATAAAGCATTCTTAAATCAGCCACAAGAAGCGCTATTTGGAGGAGATATTTTTCTAGTTCTTTAGATATTTCGAAAAGTTATCCTAAATTGTTATCCTAAAGTGTTATCCTAAATTGTTATCCTAAATTGTTATCCTAAATTGTTATCCTGAATTGTTATCCTAAATTGTTATCCTAAATTGTTATTCTAAATTGTTATCCTAAATTGTTATCCTAAATTGTTATCCTAAATTGGTACCAGTATTGGATGACGTTGTATCAAAGCATGTTAATCTAGTTTTTGACGTAGGTTGATAATTCTTAATTAAATTCATTACACCTAAGAACTGATCTTTGCCAGTTGATGACGCTAACAAAGATACTTTAAAATAGTAATCCAAGGTGTCATGATAATCTTAACATGTTCTTTTGTAATGATTGACAAGATTTCATTTTTCTAGATACAGTAGACTCTTTAAGATCAATAATTGATTGATATAGAATTGCATTTGTTACCTTCTGCAAAATATTTTGCGATATACCACAGGTAGTAACGGTAAGCAAAGCATTACCAGCATAAATATCTTTTCGCATTTTTGCAATTACGGTACCTGAGTTTTCAGAGAGTTCTAAGTGAAACCAATATATATATATATATATATATATATATATATATATATATATATATATATATATATATATATATATATATATATATATATATATATATATATATATATATATATAAATATAAATATATATATATATATATATATATATATATATATATATATATATATATATGTATACATATATATATATATATATATATATATATATATATATATATATATGTATACATATATATATATATATATATATATATATATATATATATATATACATATATATATATATATATATATATATATATATATATATATATATATATATATATATATATATATATATATATATATATATATAATATATATATATATATATATATAGATAGATAGATAGATAGATATAGATATATATATAGATAGATAGATATAGATATATATAGATATATATAGATATATATAATATATATATATATATATATATATATATATATATATATATATATATATATATATATATATATATATATATATATATATATATATTTATGTATAGATACATAGATAGATAGATAGATAGATATTTGTGTAATTTATTCCGCCGTTAAACAATGTTTACATTGCATATACATTATCGAAATTAATGGCTGGATCAAGAAGAAGGCATAGTTTGCCTTATAGCCGACCCCCATAAAACTATTAACTGCATTACTTATAACTACATTATAACAACAATGATTCCTTTATTTTCATAAGACATGTTAATGGAAATAAAATTTACCTTAAAAGTAGGTACTTCTGAGTATTAGAAAAGTTAAAAATATAACACGCGGGCAAAGAATGTACGCTGCACGTGTTAAGGAAGTCCTTCGTTCATAGTACGTAATAAAGGCGTTCCGCGAACGTCTGTCCCCACGTAGTAATTAAACGCATATGAGTTATCCTACTCATATGCGTTCCGTTGATGAATATTTGTTTAAGGGTAATTAAAAATGGAGCAGTATCAAAACTACATAATGTTATAATTTAAACGATAACTCAACGAGGTAATATAATATTTTTTTTTTATTAGTTTATACGAAATTTAAATTATTTATAAAATTTTCACTTTTTCTAAAACTTTGGTATTTAGAAGTATGACAATAAAGTTTCTACCTTGAAAATGAAAAGGACATAAAATTTACGTACTCATAAATTTTATAACCCGTTCATTTTGAAGGTAGAAACTTTGCATGTAACAACTTTCAAAAATGAAAATATAATTTATCAAAAGTTAAAACTCATCAATAAGTATAAGTTAAGTATTAGAAAAACTAGTAGTACTTTATCAATTGTCTCTACACATGAGGTAGGGTTGCCAAACATACTTTATTATTACATTTATCTTATAAATATTTCATTCATATATAGATTAAATTAAGTTTAAATTAAATCATTCTGTTCTTTGCAACATAAAATGATAATCATCAGATATTAAAATGGTTGTTCGTATGATAAATTTTTCGAATATATGTTTTGCCAAGTTGCTGCCTTTCAGTGTTTGACAAATTTTTTTTTGTTCTTCACTAAATTGATATAAAAAAATTTAAAAAATATGTTAGTAATAATAATTTTATGCAATACATACATAGATACATACATACATACATACATACATACATACATACATAGATACATACATACATACATACATACATACATACATACATACATACATACATACATACATACATACATACATACATACATACATACATACATACATACATACATACATACATACATACATACATACATACATACATACATACATACATACATACATACATACATACATACATATATATATATATATATATATATATACATACATACATATATATATATATATATATATATATATATATATATATATATATATATATATATATATATATATATATATATACATATATATATATATATATTACTTATATATACATACATACAAACATACATAATATAAAAAGGTCCTTGTAATGAAAACTTTTAGTTTGACCTCACAAAAATACAAACATTAGGAATTAAAATATTATAAAAAATATTCGTTTTAAGATTTTTATAACCAAATCTTAAAACGAATAACACAAAAATAAGATGTGGAAAAG